ACAAGATAAACATCAAGAATCAACAATCATCATCATGCAAGCGAATATACAACATGGTCAACACACCAAGAATACAACGCAATGATCATAAAAGTTCATCAATGGAAAACCAAAAGTTGTGTGTCGAAGAAACTCAAGCATGCTATCAAGAACGATGCAATAGGCCCAGAACAATCCACATATATGCATCATATTAATCCATGAAGTTTAAGGATGAAAAGAAAATCAAATAAGCTTAAAAATGCAAGAAAAAGGAATTTTGTCTCAGTGGTAATCGATTACCAATATGTGGGTAATCGATTACCCACTTGAAAATGTCAAAAAAAAAAAACACGTGGAAAAGGTAGGGTAATCGATTACCCATATTGTGGTAATCGATTACCACTGAGATAGTGGCATAAATTCAACTTCCAAAAAGCACTTTCAGCAGCAAATGATTTATCCAATCATCCAAATGAACAAGCAAACAATTATGCACGAAAATTAGGTCAGATCACAACAATCAAACACCAATTGCATTAATCAAACAACAAGATCAAAGATCAAAGCAAGCAATGGATCAAATATCACCAAAAAGCCAAGGATCTACATTGTGAAATGTAAGATTAAGCAAAAACATAATTAGATCTAGGATTTACCAACCTACAAAGCTGAGAAATGCTTTGGTGAGTGTTGTTAAGCTACAATTAACATATCCAAGCAAGAAATCCAAGTATCTATGAAGCTATAGCAAGAAAACTTGAAGATCAAAGCAATAATCCACACATAAGTAAAAGCTCTTCCAAAATTGATTCCAACAACTTAATTCAAGATCTAAATGAATTCCAAAACTAGAATTGAACCAAGGATGATGATGTAATGAAGGTTTAGCTCAAGGACTCACAAATTTCAATGTACAATTTGTGAAGCTTTTGGCTATGGAGCTTTTGTGAGGGTTTTGGAATGAGAGAAAAGTTAAGATAATTGAAGTGAGATGTGTAGAAAATTCAGAAAAATGAGTGAGAGTTATGAGAGGTTTGGAGTGAATTTGTTTAAATAACCCCTATGTTAGGAATTAAAATGTAGTTTGGAGTGTGGGTTGGTGTTTGGAATGGAAATTAGGAGTGGAATCAGGAATGGAAATGTTTTAATTTTTGGAGGGAATTGGAATTAATTTGTGAAAATGAATCAAATTTAAACCAATTCTAGATCCTTCTACTGATGCACATGGAAATCACATGATCAAAATGCAAATCAAGTGATGCAGTGCTGAAAAATGAACAATTTGGGAAAATTTTGCTTGAGGTAATCGATTACTCTGATTGTGGTAATCGATTACCCTAATTGTGGTAATCGATTACCACATTCAAAATTTCAAATTTGGCGCCATAAAGAGGAAAACTTGGAGAATTGCCTGTTGCCACCTGTTCTGAGTATAGTTTGGCCTCTTAAACTTGTCTTTTGATATTGCACTTGTATAATGCCAGAAATAAACTGTGAATTATCTTCTGTGCTCAAAATAACCTACTGGAAAATATAATCAGGTGCTCGATTACTAAGCAAAATAAATGCTGAAGCCTCTGATGCTTACTGCTTAATACTTGCAATAAATGAAAACCTTGAGCCATAGAAACAAATTGATCCCATGTCTCAAAAACCAATGCAATGATATGCACAATGATAATGCAAATGAAAGAAGTACAAGTCAGTTATGGTTAAAAACAAAAAAAGGAAAAATTTGAGGTGCTACACTTTCAACCTGGTAGATTAATCAGCCATTCTGCAAGAGACGAGGGTGAGATCTCATCTATTTCCTTATGGGTTGAGTTTATTTATGGTCAGGAAACAAGGTTATCTCTTGGGGTGGGCATATTATGTCAGCAATTGGAGTGAAACAAGGTGACCCATTAGGGCTGCTCCTTTTTGCCCTTATGTTACACACTCTGATTTATTCGATTAGTGACAATTATAAGCTTCTTATTCATGCTTGATATATTGATGACGAGTGTAAAACCCTTTTCAATCCCACAAATATAATGGCAAATCAATCATATTTATCAGAGTAAAATATTGAATGCAATAAAATTAAATCAAAAGGGCGCACATTTCTCAATAATTCAAATATAGTCAATGTTCCGTAAACAACGAGTTTTTCCAAAATTACTCAAAAATTGTTCAAATGGCAGCAAAACTCAAAAATGAAAATCCAAAGTTTTCCTTGCACAACAACATAATCAAAATAAAAAAAAATAAAAAAACATGGTTTAACTCAAAGACCCCAACCCGATGTTACACTATCAGAGCAAGACCCTCTAAGTCAACCAAAAGTCAAAAACTCCAAAAAACTCCTCAACAACATCCACGGCTAAATCTGGTCATCTGCATGTTACCCACGTGGAGGTAACATTCAAACAGGCAGGGTGAGTAAAACGATTCATAATAATCAATATAGGAATCAATATATAAAACAACATCATTTTCATATTCAACATCATCATAATCATCAAGGAACATCCAAGGCCCAAACATTATAAATTACACCAAATTGTCACATAAATGTAAATGCAACAAGACTCATGCATGTGGTACCAATCAACAAAATTCGATGGACAATGGGCCATCAACCCTCCATAGATCCACAACAGTAGGATTGATTCTACACGAGAACCAGAGCACAATAAAATACCTCACATCCACATAATGGGACTGAAGCCACAAGAATCAAGGTCCTAGACCGAAGTCCGAAATGCATATGAATGCATGATGCACACGTCAATATCATCCTCATAATAATCTCATTAGGTGCATCATCATTCATCAAAATAATCATAAGAATCATGTCATCATAGAATCATCAAAACCTCATGGAATCAACGTCACAAATCATCACAGTCCCTCATGGGGATTCATTATGCAATCATGTATTAATCTCATAAGAATCATAATTATACTCATGGGTACTCATCATACGGTCATGCATTAATCACATAAAAATTACAGATATACTCATAGTAATTCATCATACATTCATTTAATTATATAGGAATCACAGTTATACTCATAGTAATTCATCACACATTCATTTAATCATATAGGAATCATAGTTACACTCATGGTAATTCATCAGAAAAATCACAGCATCAAAACATCAAGACATCACTGAACCAGACCATAATTCGCGAAACTCTGCTACGTTCGCTGGCAAGTTCGCCGTGCGAGTCTGGGGCGAATGTTCGCCGTGCGAACTCACGATTACAGCAAATTGCTGCTATGCAACAGTAGCAAAGTCAGTCTAAAGGTCCATACGATTTCCTTCCTCAATGTCCCAAAAACATCCCTAAATCATTCCTAAGGTATTACGACGATAAAGAGACAAAATCTACGACTTATTAAGCCAATCCCGTATCATATTTACGCCTCAAATTCCTATAATTTCTTACAAATACCCCATAATTATTAAAGTTCTCACAATCACTTACCCTATATGGTTAAACACCCTCAGCAACAGATTTGACCATGAAGGCCTAATTTCCCTTACTCTCAAATCAGCCTCAACTCTATCAGACCATTAGTTCAAATCCCTCAAACTCATTAAACTCACCAGAAAGGCAATGAAGGTAATATTCCCCATAAAACTCACCAGAAAGCCGACTTAATCCCTAAACCCTTAAATCGGCTTTAAATACATTGAATCATATATTGAAAACAATGAAGGTAATACTCCCCATACCTTACTTGCTGACTCTAAGCCTTTCTCCTTGATTCTTGGAAATCTCACGAAGCTTTGCCTCAATCCTCTTCCTCAGAGCTCTGGCCTCTATTTCTTTCCTTTTCACAGTCGAACAAGAATAAATCCTAATTCCCTCAAAATTCCTTTTTGTTAAACCTAACTTTGGGCCTTCAAATGGGCTTTCCAATTTCACTCTCACTAACTCCTCCTCAAAAGTCCACTTTGCCCTCAATTCACTTATATTTATTTAAATTAATAATAATACCAATATATTCATATTATGTACTATTATTTAAATAAATAACTCAAAATCCGTAATTCTCAATATTCACACCAACCACCGAAAATCACCAAAAATACGAATATCCATATTTAAATAAATTAAATAAATATTCCAATAAATTTAGGGTGTTACAATGAGACCATCATAGGGAATTCAGATGAGGTGGCTAAAGCCCTTGGCATCATTAGGGAGAATGATCCAGGATTAGGTCTTGAATTGAATATTTATAAAACTGAGATCTTTTGGCCTTCGTGTGATAGTAAACTTTGTAGGGAGTTGTTTCCTTCAGACATTAGGTGGTCGATATTGGAGATGGAGTTTCTTAGAGGGGCTGTTACTTGAGATGAAAACTTTATTGAAGGGTTTTCCATGAAGAGAGCGATTAGGACAATTGAGTTAATGCATATTCTACCATAACTAAGGGATCCTCATAGCAAGTTAATTCTACTTCGTTCTTGCATTGGTATCGCCAATCTCTTTTTTGGCCTTAGAACGTGTCAACCTAATCATATGGAGAAAGTAGTTATTTGGTTTGATAAAGAGTTCTGAAGGGAGGTTGAAGACACTGATGTTGGTGGAGGTCCTTTCTTCAGGGACCTTCAATGAAGGGTGGCTTTTTTACCTATTAGATTTAAGGGATTGGGTTTGTAGTCAAAAGTACAGGCTACCTCATACACGTTTATGGCTTCGAGGGCCCAATCTTGAGTGTAACATGATCATATCTTGAGAGACAATGGGATATATGGTATGGATCTAGATTTCGATAGAGCTTTGAATGGTCTTAGTGTTATGATTCTAGATTTCGACCTTAGAGGTTTTACTACAAAGGACATCGTCCCTCCTAAAGCACAACATGTTTTGGCAAGTTCTCTTTTTCGTAAAAGTGTTAAAGACATGGATGTAAACTTTGAAATAAACACAAAACATAAATAGTTTTTTGGTTATTTGCAAGCAACACATGGTCAAAATTTTCTCCTTGCTATCCCTATTGACAATCTAGTTCAACATATGTCCTCGGTAGAGTATCATACCATCCTTAAATACTGGCTTATGATTTTCTTATTTCGTGTTGATGAGGTTTTCCATTTTTGTCACAAGGAGTGCTTGGATACATTTGAGGAACACGCTATTCATTGAAAAGAGCTGCCAGGATTCAAATATCGACATGACTTAGTTAGGGATGTCCTATTTGATACATTTAGATGTGCTGGGGTATCTGTGAAGAAAGAGGTCCCTGTGAATTTCTTGAAAGATCCACTAGATGGGAGATCGACTCTTAAGCCAACAGATCTTCTGATGTATGAGTGGGTAGGAGAGAAACATGCATGTTTAGACTTGACCGGAGTTTCCCCGCTGGTGGGACTAAGGACTGGTGGTTTCAATGTGGAACAGGTAACTCTCAAAGCCGCTTCAAGTAATATGGTAAAGCATGAGAAAACATGTTCTAACAATAAAAAAGATTTCATACCATTTGTCTTTGATACTTTTGGTTTTCTAGCACCAGAAACGATAGATCTTTTATAGAGAATGCAAACGCTCATGTATATCAACATTGCGTCTCCTAGGAAAATGAATGTAGTTTTTAAGAGGATCAATTAGGTCATCCAAAAAGGGGCATGTGTCGTGTTCTCATTGGTTACATAATTTAATAACCTTGTTCCAATCATGCTTTCTGATTAGGTATCCTTCTTGGGCAAGCCCACCCCATGTCTCACATGTTTATAATCTTCCTATGTATTACAACTAAGAGAATGACATCATCAGACTGACATCACGATAGTGACAAAATTACTCAATGACCATTTGATATAATGGTCCATAGACTTCAATCATCTTGATTTTACGAGCACTCTTTATTGGGCGGCTTCATAATAATTTTGAGCTTGTAATAGGACTAGAACAATATCCATATGGGTCTGGTTTTGAAGAGCGAAGTCGAGTCTTATGTAGATGTGAGCTTGTATGGAGAAGAAAGTTTGGTTAATATATATGCCACCTATCGGGCATCTCTACTTAACTCCTTTCTTTGCTTTAGAAGGTCGATGAAACCTAATGTTGTCAGTTTTAGGAGGACCATATAATTTAATACCACCAATCTTTCTTGATCCTTATTTTAATTTTGGCATACTTTGCATCTTTAGTTGGTTGGATTTGTTGTAATCATCTCAATACTAATGCTAGATGTCTCTCTAGATTTCTCTATGTCTCATGTAGGTTTGTCCATAAGATTTCTAGGTTTGAGGTATATTAAATGCCCCACACCCTTATATTTAAGCGTAATATTTGCATCATAGGGAATTGTCTGCTTAATGATTTTAGGAGGACGATATACCCACTCAAGATCGACTAAAAGGAAAATCTCCTAGAAATATCGGTTCAAATTTAATTTGTGAGATGACAATGATTTATAATAAGAAGAATTCTTCAGCAGTTGATACAACGGTAATTAAACGTACCTGATCAGAAGAGATTGACGGCCGCCGCATGTCGTCGATCTAAAAGCTGTTCACCGGAGGTAGGGAGGAGGAGAGGGGTGTACCTGCAAGACACTCTGATGTTAAAGTAAGTAAATGATCAAAGTGAGAGCAAATACAGAAGAGAGGTGTAGAGAATTGAATACCTAACCCTCTAGTGAAAGAGGGTATTTAAAGTGAGACCCCAACGCAAGGCCAACGGTCACTTGTGTAAGGCTGGATGGCCAGGCCCAACCCAAGTGACTGCTAGGGCTTACATGGTGTAGTGAAGACCAGCACGTGGTCTTTGCCCTAGATCAATTGTCTCATGATCTCTGGAAGGTGGGCTGACCTGCTCTTTCGGAGGTGGGTAGTTGTCTGATGACGTGTTCCCGTGGAGGGTGGCACATGGAGAACGTGAGAAAGATGTGTTATTCTTGACGACAGGGGAAGGGTGCCTGCCCCGCGTATCTAGAGTCGTGCCCGACACTAGGGGATTTGGGCCTTATTGGACCTTCTCCAAATAGCGTTGGGTTGGGCCTGTCCGACAGATGGGCAGGTCTGGGCCCAGTCCAGAACAGAATCCCCCAAAGTCATAGCTCCAAAGTAAAAGAGCGATGACTTGACGATAACTGTTTCGGGGATGAAGAAGGCGCGAGGAAGAAACTCTGCTGGAATGCCATGTTGAGGAGGGGTAGAAGGCGCGAGGAAGAAACTTTGTCGGACTGCCATGTCGAGGAGAAGGAGTGTTGGCGCGTCCTCGCCTGTCCGTGCACGCGGGGGAGGACGAAAGGACGTGATTGCTCACAGTGGCCACGTGTCTAACCACCAATGGGCCATGTAGGGCGGCTACCCTAGGGTACTCAAGTGCCTAGGGGTGCTTCGAGTCCCGTGCTGGGTTTATAAATAGGCAGGTGCCTGCCCCTTTACCACTTTTTGCATTCTCTTGCTTTCGCACGCGATAATTGGATTTCCACTCACGCAGTTGCTCATCATCGCCACCATTACGTCTGCCGTGCACTCCACCGTCTCCACCAATCCAGTAAGTTTTTTGCCTCTATTCCTCCATTTTCTTTAAATTTGACGCCCTTGTCGAGAACATGATGAATGCCCCGAGGAGAGCGAGGGTTTTCTAAAGAATACGGAGGGATACCCTTTTACTTGGGATTAAGGCCCCAAGGATAGTTAGGGTTGTAGGATGAATGTCCCGGAGGCGGTTGACAGGATATGGATGGGTACCCCGGGGACGCAACATAGTGTTAGATGAACACCTCGGGGATGTAGGATAAGGTCAGATGAATTCCCCGGGGATGTTGAATGGGATTGGATGAATACCCCGAGGAGGAATGCTTGGGAGGAGATGGACACCGCAGGGACACGAGCCGCCGCCGAGTTATGGTTGTTGTCCCCATCGCCCTTTCACTTGATTTGTGGTGGAAGGGTGAATTTGATCTTGAAACATCGAATTCACCATTTCCTTCTGCTTTTCAGGTGAATATGACCTCGTGGGCGTCGGGAACCATGTAAGTCGACATGGAGCCGGAGGATCCTGCTGCCGAGGTGCAGGCCCACTCTGTTGAGGACTGGGTCGCTGAGGAACCTTTAAATACACTGTCCTGTTTGGTCGACAACGACATCAGCGCCTTCGCGACTGTAAAGGACCGTTGTGAGGGCTCTTCTGTGAGCTGGCAGGTATACCGACCACGAGACTATCATCGGATATGCTCGAGCTACGGGAAGATGAGGTTCCCCATGTATGAGTTCTACTTCCGCAAGGCGGGTCTTCGGCTGCCTTTTACCGACTTTCAGTTGGGCGTATTCGACTGGCTGAAGCTGGCCCCTTCACAGCTGCACCCCAATTCCATAGCCTTCATCCAGGCATACGAGCTTGTCTGTCGGCATTTGGAGATCGGGGCCACTCTTACGCTGTTCTTTCGACTTTTCCACCTGCAGAGGCAGACAGTGGATGACCGACAAAGGTGAGTGTCGCTGAAGCAGCCGAGGAGGATCTTCTGGGTGTAAATGAACTCTGTTCGGGATTTCAAAGCACGTTTCTTTGTGGTCCGACCTGTTTCTTTTGAGGCGTGCGCCTCCTTGTATCAACGAGAAGCCCATGAAGTGAGCGAGCAATGGGAGGAAGTTATGGTGCCGAGGGTGCCCTTGGAGATGTCGAAGGAGCACTTCAAGAAGGGCACAAATCACTATATTGTAACACCCCAAATTTAATTGAAATATTTTAATTAATTTATTTAATTGAGAATATTCAATTTTCAGTGATTTTCGGTGGTTTTGTGGATTATTGAGAATTGTGCATTTTTGGGGTTATTTATTTTGAATAATAGTATGTAATATGAATTTATTAATATTATTATGAATTAAAATAAATATAAGATGAATAAGGGCAATTGGGACAATTCAGAGGAGTTAGTGAGGGTATTATGGAGAAAGCCCAATTATGAGGCCCAAGACTAGGTTTAACAAAAATGAAATTGGAAATGGATTAAGATTCATTTGTTAGACCGTGAAAAGTATTGAGGCCAGAGCTCTGAGGAGAGGATTGGAGGCAGAAGCTTCGAGAGATTCCCTGAAAGATTTGTGAAGGCTTTGAATCGACGATTAAAGTATGGGGAGTATTACCTTCATGATTTTCCATGTGTAACTTTCAATGTATTTAAGGTCGATTTAAGGTTTAAGGGTTTTGAGGATGGATATGAGAAATAGTGATCTTTGGCCTTCGTGGCCTAAATCTGTTATTGTGAATCTAACCGTGGAATTCATTGGGGAAAAGGAAAAGTTAGGTCTTCGTGGCCAAAACCATTAATTGTTATTTGTCTAACCCTGAAGGGATAGGAATATTAGATAATGAGTAACTCTAATGCCTTGGGATAATTATAGGGAAATTTGTGATTTAGGGCGTGAATATGATACGGGATTGGCCTAATAAACCGTAGGTTTTGTGCCTTTATCACCGTAAGACCTTAGGGATGATTTAGGGATGTTTTGGGGGCATTAGGGAAGTGAATCGTGTGGATATTTTGGTGGATTTAGGTTCTGGTGCGTAGCAGAATTTGCTGTTATCACACTATTTGCCTAGAGAATAATGCTTCGCCTAGCGAACCATGTTGTTCCCAGACTCGCATAGCAAACATGCCAGCGAACGTAGCAAAGTTCGCGAATATTGATCGTGTATAGCGATGCCTTGATGTTTGATTCTGGGATTTCTTTGATGAATTGACATGGGTATGACTGTGATTTTTATGTGATGTGTACATGATTACATGATGATTTCTATGATGTATTGATTGGAAAGTATGATGATGTTACCATGATTTTGATGAATTATATGATGACTTGAGATATGATAATGACTATGATGATTATAATGAATGATGATGCACCTATGCTGTTATTATGAGGATAATTATTGACGCGTGCATCATGCATTCATGTGCATCCGGACTTCGGTTCAGGACCTCGATTACTTTGGCTTCAATCCCATTATGCGGATGTGAAGTGTTTTGATGTGCTCCGGTTCTCTAGTAGAATTGACCCTATTGATGGGGATCTATGAAGGGTTGATGACCCAGTGTTCGTCACGCTATGATGATTGGTACCACATGCATTGAGTCTTGTTGCATTTGCATTTATGAGTCATTTGGAATAATTTATGATGTTGTGGCCTTTGAGGCCTATTGAAGGATATCAATGTGTTGAATATGAATATGACACCGTTTTATATGTTGATTTTTATACATTGATTATTATGAATTGTTTTACTCACCCTGCCTGTTTGAATATTACCTCCACGTAGGTAACATGTAGATGACCAATTTAGCCATGGACGCCGTCGAGGATGTTTTGGAAGTCTTTGAGTTGTTAGCCTTTTGATTAACTTAGAGGTTCTTGCTCTGATATGTAACATCGGGTTGGGGTATTTTGAGTTAAACTATGTTTTATTTGAGTTTATTTTGATTATCTTCCCGTATGAGGAAAACCTTGATTTATGCCTTTTGAGTTCCGCTGCTTTGTGCAATTTGATGTATTTTGGGAAAACCCATTTCTTACGGAGCC